AGCCGGGGAAGAAGGAAGGAGGGACAACGAAGTTGAAGACAGACAAAGGCGAGGGTGAAAAAAAAAAAAAAAAAAAAAAAAAAAGAAGGGAAGAAGAAAGGGCCGAGATAGAAAAAAGCAAAGAAGGTGAAGAGAAGGGAAGTTGGCGAGGAAGAAAGTGCTGGCAGCCATAGCCGACTTGAAGGTTTGGCGAGGAAGAAAGTGCTGGCAGCCATAGCCGACTTGAAGGTTTGACCGCGTTGATCAAGCGTTGACCGGAGTTGTTGACCACAACGTTGACCAAGCCGGAGTTGGTATAATCCCGCCAGGCCCTTAGCCTATCCCCTCGCCCTATGGATGTACACTCACCCTCTGATACTTGCTGAGTTTGAATCTGTCTGTCTCTTTTTTCTTCATTGAGTCTCTTCTGTCCAGGTGATAGGATTCCATGTATGAAGGATAGGGCCTCGTTGACCAAACCCACACAGGCTGAGTAGGGCTAAAGGCTGTGTCTGACGACTCGATTGTCGCGGAGGACACGAACCCTCCCAAGGACCGGTATTGACCGATGGGCTGCTCGGTAGGCCCAAAATCTGAGCTGTGGGCTGCGCAACAGGCCGTCTAAGTCTTGAGAGAACCTGCTGATCGCGTCGTCCTGTCTGAGACGTTAAAGAATTCCTGAGGAGTTACGGGGGATCTCCTTAAATGCCTCCTCATCAGCAATAGGTTATGTAGTGACGGCTGTAGTTTAAAGTCTAGGCGTTTATGAATAGCTAAATTTCTTTTCAAGAAAGTATGTAAAAAAGCTTGCTGTCTATAAGAAGGTTCTAAGGCTAGAGACCATAATTGGTAGGGTTCTATACGGAGCTTGTGGTCCTTAGATTGAGTCAGTCTTAAGTTGAGTTAGTTAGGGGGTGAGTCTAAATGGTGAGGAGTGGAACCGTTACTTGCTTGTGCGTTTATCACCATGGTTGACACGCGTACCGGAATGAGCACCTCCCCTTACACAACAGAGCAGGATGCGAAAGCCGCCGCCATCTTGATGGAGAGAAGGGAGAAGGAGGCCAAGAAGAAGGCCTTGCTGGAGGAACAGGCGGCGAAGAAGAAAAAGGTTGAGGAAGAGATGGTAAAGGAACTGGAGAGGTTGAAAAAGGAGGAAGAAAAACTTAAAGCGGTAGAGGCAGAAAAAGAGGTAGAAGAACAGCCACTGGAGAGGAGAAGGACAAGAGAAAGAGGAGAACCCAGTGGTGTGAAGGAAGACCCGTTGGAGAAGAAGATTACGGAATGGGTGGCCAATTTATCCCTGGGAGAAGAGGAGGAGGCATTAATGTATGTAACCAGGGAAGAGCAGGAGGCGGCCATGAAAGAGTGGAATGCAGAGGAAGACCCTCTCAAGCGGCATACCATAGAGGATGAAAAGAGGATGGAGTGGAAGCTGCGACTGATGAGGGAAAAGAAAAAGAGAGTGGACGCAGTGAGCCAGACGGCAAGGGAATTGGAAGAAGTAAAGAAACAGGGAGAGCGGATGGCGGCGCAGGCGAACCTGTTGGGGAAGATGCAGATCATGTCGAGGAACATAGAGCGCCTGGCCTAGGTCCAGGAAGAGCAATATCAGTTTGGTAGGAGTCAGGACATAGCCCTGCGATCCGTACGGTTGGGATTCAGAGACTTCGCACGTGAGTTAGTGATGCAGGTGGGCTTAGAGGTGAAGGCCCGCTTAGAGAACATAGAGCGTTATTGCACGGGCGCCATAGAGGGCGCCAGGCTGGCTGCACCCAAAGAAGAAGAAGCACGTCCTCGTAGGGAGCCTGTTAAAGTGAAGTTCCCCGACTCCTATAGTGGAAAGGAGGAGAATTTCGACAATTGAGAAACCAATATTAAGACGTATGTGCATTTGCAGGAAGTCGCCCCAGACGAACACGTCTTGATAGCTATCCACGCTCTTAGGGAGGAAGCAGGAAGCTTCGCCCGTTCCCTGTGTCGCGCCGCCAATTGCAACGATGACTTAGTTGCATATTCAACATTTACCCCTCTCAGCGATTTCCTTAAGTTGTTGAGAGAGCGGTTTGCAGACATTACCCGTAGTGTCAAAGCCTCAAATAAGCAGCAAATCATCCATTCTCGCCAATGGAAGAGTGCTAGGGCACTCAAAGGTGTGATGGACGAGTTTGTCGCCGTTCCTGATCATGGGGTCACTGAGACCCAATTGGCCAACCTCTTCTATCAAGCCATCCCCGAACAGCTACGCGGGCATTTCTTTAAGAAAAGTCAGCAACCTACCATGACCTATGATGCTTTGAGTAGGGAAGTGGTAGCGTTCGAAGCGCAGTCCATGTCAATCTCCACTTTCTGGCACAAGGACCTGGATAAGGGCAAAAAGTGGAAAGGCCGTACCATCTCGGGTCAGGTTAAGACAAAGCATCGCCTGATCCGTACACTAGACAAAGGTGGTATGGATGAAGTCCCGTACGACCGAATAAAGTGGGGACTAGAAGAGGAAGGAGACAATAGCGCTAGCCAGGAGAGGACTTACGCTGCTGTCGCGGCCGGAGGGAGGCCGCAAGGAGGAGGTAGAGGTCAGGGCCAAGGGGGCCGGGCCTCAGGTGGTCGTTTCCAGGGTGATCAGGGGGTTGGCGGTAGAGGGAACCGCCAAGCGGGAGGCAAGGGTCAAGGCCCCTCACAAAACCGTTATGGAACTAGGTCACCGAATAGGGGGAATAGGTCACCCTATAGGAGAAGCGGTTGGCACCCAGGTCTGCCACAGGGCCGACCTTAGGAAGATTTGGGCTTGGACCAGTGCGTTTGGCAACAACGTGTGGACCAGGGGCGGTGCGTATATTGCGGTGACCTTGTTCACATCATCAAATATTGTCCAAAGTGTAGAGAGGTCCGAATGGCTGCCCAAAGGTAAAAAGCAGCCGCCGGTAGGGGTTGCAACTGCCCCTACCATAAGGCCATGTGGGGAAACGAGCGCGAGCCGGCAGAAAACTCCAACACCACATGCGGCTATGGCAGAGGTTGTAGGCCGGTGCCTAGATAACTGTCCAGAGACTGCGTTTGTCAGAGTTTCTTTAGGCACCTCCATCACAGGCGTGGCTGACGAGCTAAAGGAGAGAATGCCCGCCTGGACCAAGATGACGAAAGAGAGTAGAGGACATCTAGTACTAATAGACGTAGAAGTCCTTAGGAGCAAAGTAGGGCCCCTCGTAGATAGTGGGGCCAAAGGCACTGCAAAAGTTAAAGTTGGGATTGAAAGTCCAAAAGTTAGCAGACCCCATAGTAAGTATCCTTGTAGATGATCGCACGATGTGAGTAGAGGATTACGTAGAGGGAGTCCAGGCGTACTTCCGCCTAGAGAAAGATGGGAAGGTGGAGAAAGTTCTCCATTCCTTGACTTTCTTCGTAGAGGACAACCTCCCATTTGACATAGTCCTAGGAATGGATTGGGGAGAGGCAGCAGGAGCCGCACTTCTTCTGAGAGAGCATGAGTGTAGGCTCCCTAGTTCATCATGCGAGGTGAAGATTGCTCGTCTGTTCCATATGTCAAGAGTAGACAACTCCTTAGCACATTGCTGTCTTAGCGCTCCTGCATTTGCGAGGCTAGTGAAGAAGGAGCAGCTAGAAGAACAAGTTTTTGTAGCCTACGTTAGACCAGTTACTGAGCCTAAAGAGGAAAAGCCCATAGATTCCGCTATCGCCAAGCTGTTGGAAGAGTACACAGATCTAGCTAAGCTGCCAACATGGGTAGTCCCGCGGCCCATCCAGCATCGCATTGAGATAGAGCTTGGCAGTAGGACTCCTAAGAGAGCAGTATATAGGATGTCCCCGCGGGAGTTGGAGGAGTTGTGCAAGCAGTTAGATGAACTCTTAGAGAAGGGTTGGATTAGGCCCAGTTCGCTCCATTTGGAGCACCTGTTCTATTTGTCCCCCAAAAGGAGGGAGAGCTTAGAATGTGCATTGACTATAGGGGTCTTAATGCTATTACAGTGAAGAATGCGGAGCCGCTGCCCCGTATAGACGATCTTTTAGATCGGGTGCAGGGTTGCAAGTACTTCTCGAAGATAGATTTGAAGTCCGGATATCATCAGATAGAGGTTCATCCTGATGATCAGCATAAGACTGCATTCCGGACTAGGTATGGGCACTACGAGTTTTTAGTTATGCCCTTTGGACTAACCAACGCGCCAACAACTTTTCAGCGTTGTATGAACGACTTATTAGGCTGTGGTTAGATAGGTTTGTAGTAGTCTACTTAGATGATATTCTAGTGTTTAGTAGGACCTTCCAGGAGCATTAGGGTCATCTGAGGCAGGTCTTGGAGAAGCTGAGAGAGGCCAACTTCAAGATCAACGCAAAGAAGTGCGAATGGGCAAAGACCCAAGTTTTATATTTAGGCCATGTCTTAGACAGAGACGACATCAAACCAGAAGATAGCAAGATCACAACGATTAGAGATTGGCCTACACCCCGCACGTTGACAGAGTTGCGGTCGTTCTTCTTAGGCCTAGCTAACTATTACAGGAAGTTTGTAAGAAACTTTTCCACCATCGCTGCTCCCCTTCGCAGGTTGTTGAAGAAAGAAACAATTTGGAAGTGGGACAAGGACTGCACGTCTGCCATGAAGAAACTGAACCAGGCATTGATAGACTACCCATTCCTCAAGGTAGCTGATCTTTCCTTACCTTTCGTCGTCACCACCGACGCGAGCCAGTATGGTATAGGTGTTGTATTACAGCAAGACTATGGCAGTGGATATCGACCCGTAGAGTTCATGTCTGCTAGGATGCCTTCAGAGAAGGTAGCGACATCCACCTACGAAAGGGAACTCTACGCTCTCAGGCAAGCGTTAGAGCAGTGGAAGCACTACTTGCTTGGGAGGCACTTTAAAGTCTATTTAGACCACGAAACGTTACGGTGGCTGAAGACTCAGCCCAAGATGACACCTAGGTTTAATAGGTGGGCCGCAGAGTTAGACCAATATGATCTTGATCTCAAGCCAGTAAAAGGAAAGTATAATGTAGTTGCGGACGCTCTGAGTAGGAGAGCTGACTTCTTTGGAGCAATAGGTCACTATCTGGATATAGGGAGAGATCTGCAACAAAAAGTTAGAGAGGCGAATGCGCAGGACCCTATCTATAGTGACCTCCTCAAGAGAGTAAAGGAGGCCCCAGAGTCCGAACCAGACTACCACACTACTGATGGACTGCTATTTGAGAAGACTAACGTAGTTGACGGATTGTGCGTCCCTAACACGGAGGAGATCCGTAGTCTGTTCCTAGGGGAATGCCACGATACTGAGGGACATTTTGGTTGGCAAAAGACTCTAGCTAACCTCATGCGTGCGTACATATGGCCTGGGATGAAGGCCGACTGCATAGAGTATGTTCGCAGTTATAAGGTCTGCCAAAGAAACAAGACCTCTACGCGTGCCCCTCTAGGTCTTCTCAGACCTTTGCCTATTCCTGACCAGCCGGGAGACACAGTGTCCATTGACTTTATGGACACCCATGTCAAGAGTAGGCACGGCAAGAGCCAAGTCATGGTTATAGTCGATAGATTTTAGCAAGTATGCAGTTTTTGTTCCTTTGCTTACGGAGGCACACACAAATTTAGTAATCCAGAAGTTCTTTGATCATTGGGTCAGTGAACACGGGATTCCGCTATCTATAGTTAGTGATAGGGACACCCGTTTCACTAGTCAGAACTGGCAGGAGTTGATGAGAGTTTATGGGTCTAAGTTGTTGATGTCATCTGGCCGTCGTCCAGAGACTAATGGTCAAACTGAACAAATGAATAAGATCCTGCAACAAGTTCTGCGTATGTACATTAGACCAGATCAAGTCAATTGGGATGAGATGCTCTCGAAAGGTAGCCAGTGCATATAACAATAGTGTGCATCTAGCCACTTGTCGCACTCCCAACGAGTTGCATAAGTCGTTCAAACCACGTAGACCATTTGAAGGACTTAACCAGGACCAGATTCAGAGGCTACCCCCCGGAACTAGGGAGTTTGCACTTCAGCACGAGAAAGAGTTAGCTACCGTTGTAGAGAACCTCAGGAAGGCCCAACATAGAATGATAGAGCAAGCCAATACATTGCAGTTTCAAGTAGGCGACTTTGTCTGGGTCGAATCTAAAGAATTTGCTGTTTAGGAGAACATTTCACAGAAGCTATTGCCAACGTACAGGGGACCGTGGCCAGCCCTAAAAGTCAAGGGCGGAGAGGATCGACCGTCCTATACAATAGAGATCCCAGCACACCTCCACACCTACCCTGTGTTTCACGGGTCAAAGTTGCTGCCTTGTGTCACGAGCCAACAGTTTCCATCAAGAAGATCCATGACCCCCCGGACATGGATGGAAGATATGACATTGAGGGCATTGTAGGTGAAGATGTTTGCAGAACAGGAGGTAGAGGTTGTCCTCAGAAATAGTACAAGGTTCGATTTGTGTATCAAAAACCAGACGACGACTGCTGGTACACACGAACAGAACTTCTAGAGTCCGCCCCCGATATAGTTTGCGCTTATGAAAGAGACAAGAAAGGTAAAGGTCCTGCCTTGGACTGAAATATTCTCGGAGAACCTAGAATTTAGGCCAGCGGGAGTGCAACGGATTCCACCTTTCGCAGTAGCCGATCCAGATCCCAGGGCTCGATCCCTAGTCCTCATTTCACCTGTGTACAATACCTGAGTTGACCCTGAGAGTTGAACCAGTGACTTATGTATTCGCCGTAGTTGGTAGGTTGTCGTAGGTCCGTAGGTTGTAGGGGTTCGATCTGTAGACCTGTCGTTGTAGGTCTTAGCAGGTCCTAGGAATCGTAGCTGTAGCCCCTCTGAAGGGTCAAAGTCGTAGCTGCTGTAGTCCTGAAAGGTCAAGGTCGCAGCTGCTACGATACGAAAAGGCCAAGTCTACGACCTTCCGGAAGGTCCGGAAGTGGCCTTTCGGAGCTTGCTCACGTTTAGACAGATACAAGTGGGCAAGTGGCGAGGCCAGCTGCAATACGTCGGCAGTGCGACTGTAGCGAGTTGGCAATACGTCCCCATGCAGGCAGAGGTATCAGTCCCAGTCAGTCAGGGTCCAGTCAAGCAAGTACCGTGTGAGACTGTGTGCACCTAGGGCACGGGGAAGGGGCAGACCAACGAGCTACAGAAGTATAAAGCAAGAGGCAGCGACCAGTCATTCATTCATTCGTTGCGTAAACCATGCGGAAGCGTTGCTACAACGTCTTGTGCAAGGGTGGTTTGCAGGTTGCTCGAAGACGAAGTGGGCTAAAGGGAGATCGTAGCCATAGTCAGTAGTGGTAGTGCGGCCATAGCCGCTGTAGGAGGGAGTGAGATTAAGCGTGTGCGTGTGGCGGTATTCAGGGTGATCCAGAGTGAGCGTGTGTGAACAGTGGGGCTGGACACAGTGACGAAGGTTGCGATGTTCAGGCGCCGATGCGCCATAACCTGTTGCAGTGAACTTGCATCTGAACTGTGTTCTTGATTTCCATATCTTTAAGCTTTGAGTGGGCGCCCTGCGCCAGTGTGAATCTCCATCTGTTTGCATGTATGTGAAGTGGTAGTGGAAACGAGTCTGATTGCATAGTATTCAACTTAGCTTGAAAGGTCAGTTTGTTTTTCAACTCACTTTTTCTTGAATAACATGCCCCTTCAAATATAACGCCTGGGCGTTGTATACAAATGTGGCATGGGTAGAATGCGTTGTTTGCGGCACATAGGGGCTGCGTAGGTTTGTTTGTTGTTGGCTCTACCTGCCTCTGTAGGACTGAAGCGGTACTGCGAAGGGTGTGCACTTAGAGGGAGGCGTTTGGAGGGGGCACGGAGTGGTTGTTGGGCGGAGGAGCTGTAGCAGTGCATCATGGCATTTCAGGGGACCGGTCTGTCAAAACACGAAAAGGTGCGAGGGGTCGAGGACCAGGCCCACAAGGCATTTAAACTGTGGCAGTGAGGCCCGGGCTAGTGAAAAGAGAGTGTGCCTACTTTGGCGATTTTTGTGCTCAGAATATTCTGCATCATGGCACTTTAGGGGACCGGTCTGTCAAAACACGAAAAGGGAGGGGTTGAGGACCAGGCCCGCATGGCATTTCAACTGTGGTAGTGAGGCCTGGGCCAGCGAAAAGAGTGTGCCTACTTTGGCGATCTTTTGTGTTCATAATATTCTGCTTTGAGTCTGTGCACAGACCAGATGTCACCTACACATCAAAGCACAGGTGAGATGTAACCCAAAGCCAGTATCTGCCAATCAACTCAATTGCATAGAATGGAGGTGCGGCTATGGCTGCCTGCATGCTCTCTCAGGTATCGTTGCTCTCCTCTTGTTACATGCATAGATATGCAATGTACGTATCAACCGAGGAACTGCAGTGTGATGAAAAGGACTGACTGGACAATACAGTGCGAGTAGAATCTCGACAGACAATGTACATTCTCATACATACAAAAGGTGTTGAATAGCGCAGGGAAGACTTTGATACAAAGACTGACCTGACAGGACTGACCTCATTCACGTAGTTCAG